TTTCAGATTTTTACATGGCACATGGTCTGTCACACACACATACAAATCACCTTGTGGAAAAAGCATTATATGGATAATGGAAATTGCAAAGTAATAATGCAAGCAAGGAGGCAATGTTATTTTTTAATTTCAATTTTATTTTGTATTGGTTTCAGGAGTACAGCTTAGTGGTTAGATGATCATATACTTTCCATAGTGTCCACTTAAACATAATGTTCCCCTAAATATTTCAGTACCCAAATGCCACCATACATAGTTATTGTAATATTATTGACTATATTCCCTGTGCTACTTATATCCCCATGACTATTTTGTAACTACCAATTTGTACTTCTTAATACCTCACCTCTTTCACCCAGTCCCCCAAAACTTCCTCCCTTCTGGCAACCACCAGATTGCTTTCTGTGTCAATGAGTTTGTTTCAGATTTGTTTGTTCATTTATTTTATTCTTTAAATTCCACATGTAAGTGAAATTATATGGTATTTGTCTTTCTCTGACTGACTCATTTCACTGAACATAATACCCTCTAGGTCCATTCATTCTGTCACAAATGGTAAGATTTCATTCTTTTTTATGGCTGAGTAATAGTCCATGCTTTGTATGTACCACAGCTTTTTTTACCCACTCATCTACTGATGGGCGCTTGGGTTGTTTCTATATCTTGGCTATTGTAAATAATGTTATAATGAATATACAGATGCATATATTCATTCAAAGTAGTGTTTTGGGTGGCTTCAGGTAAATTCCCAGAAATGGAACCTCTGGGTCATAAGGCAGATCCATTTTTAAGTTTTTGAGAAAACTTCATACTGTTTTCCATAATGGCTACACCAATCTAGCAATGCATTTTTTTTTTCTTTTTAGTGGCCAAAATATATGGAACAACTGCTGTATCCCAGGTCCTATGTGCTTTACATACATTATTTAATTCAATCCTCAACAACTTCTTGAGGCAATAGGAAGAGGTTGGTTTCCCTACTTCTATTCTTGGTCCTTCAACAGTGAACTGTCACACAAAAAACACAGTTGCTATTATTATCATTATTACAATTTGGTGTTTTTAGTATACTCACAAAGTTGTGCAATTATCACCACTATCTAGTTCTACAACATTTTCATCTTTCTAAAAAGAAACCCTACTAGCAGTTATTCCCACCTCTCCTGCCCTGCACATTTTTATACCTATTTGTTGGGACTTTTCCTCTTCCCAGCTTGAAACCATTAAATATTAAGGCACAGATATATAAATGAAGATCAATTAGTCGCTTTTATTATTAATAAAATTTATCTATATTTTAGCTTTAAGCTTTAAGTCCAAAACTGTGCTAGCACCTTAGATTTAGGTAGCCTTGAGCAACCTTGCGTTATTCACTCAGTTTGTTACTTACAAGCCTGCTCCTCTTGGAGGCCCTTTGCCACAGGGCAGAGAACGGAACAGAACACCCACTCTCTGCTGGTAGGCGGAGCTGAGAGAGGACAGGGAGGGGCTATATTGAGCATGCCGCCTCCCAAACTCACCTAGTATGTGGTGTTATGCTGGCAGCTCTGTGGATTGTAGGCCGTAGGAGGACGCAGAGAAACCAGGTAAAAGGCAATTATAATGCCAATAGCATTGCACCCTATATAAAACAAAGACAAGACTTCTGATGGGGCTGAAATTAAGTTTGTTCTCTTGTCTTACGAAATGTTTGATTCTGAGATGTGTCACGAATGTACTGGGCATCTGGATTTCAGGCAAGAGGAAAAATCTCTTTGTCCAGTTTTATAACTGCTCCTTTTGGGATCATGTAAAGGCTGTTCCTTCAAACTTATGCCCTTTGGAATTGTTCTTTCCTATGGTAACTTATTTGTGGTCAGGAGGCATCAGCAGGTTCATTACATTACCTGATAGCCAGCTGTCAATGAAGAGGCAGGACTGGGTGCAAAGGTCACACAGCTTGGACAAAGGAAACTTGCTCCGAGTTCTACCTGGCCTGGGTGATCCTTTGGTAAATGTGGCAAAGGCAGAAGATTAGGAAGTACTTACCCATTGGGTTTTGCTCTCTCTTGCTCCTGGGGATCCCTCTGTCAGCATGTGAACAAGTCTAGGTGAGCTGGAGAAGGAAACCGCGTGGAGAGAGACTCCCTCTGTCTCCAGGGGGTGTCTCCCAATGCCAGGAGCCATTTCCTGATTCTCTGGACACCACATGGTTGTTAAACAAATACAGTTCAATTCTGAAACTACCTACCTACCCAGTTTTAGTGCATAATCCACAGCTTAATTAAGGGCTCAGTCCCACAAGACTTTCCCACACCAACTTCAGTTACCAGTTTTAAGTCCCTAGCCTTCCACACTTCTGACTGACTGGCTATAAATCAGGGCTTCCCATGACGTCCTCTTAAGATTTGACAATTTATTAGAATGGCTCACAAAACTCAAGAAGACACTTTCCTTACATTTACTGGGAAGGGAATACAAATGAAAAGCCAGATCAAGTGGAATACAAGGTCTGTCCAGAAGGTATCCAGCCATGTAATATGAAAAATAGAGGTTTTTAATGAAGAAGACATAAGATACAAGAAACATTGTATATAGGGCAATGATGCCTCAGTCCCCTTCAAAGTAGTCACTTTGGGACCTCACACAGTTCTTCCAATTGCCACAAGCTGCCGTATCATATTTTCCTGAATCTCATCAATGGTCTGAAGTCTATTCCCTTCCAAAGGTGACTTAGCTTTGGGAAAAGCCAGAAGTTGCAGGGTGCCAATTGGGGCTGAAGAGGGGCTGAGTCACCTGGGTGATTTGATGTTTCACCAAAACACTCTGCACGAGGTGTGACGCATGAGCAGGTGCAATGTTGTGGTGAAGGTGCCAATCATCAGTTGCCCATAGATGTGGCTTTCTGAATCATCCAAATAGTTTCCACTGAGGAATGTTCAAGCTTAATGCAAAATTTGATGCATATTCATTGCTCTACTTGCTCAGTCGTTTTGAATGTGATGGCCACTCAGCACTCATGCTCACTCAATGACATCTACCACCCATGCTGACTAGTTCTGTGAAGTCATCATTGTTCACGCATGTACAGTCCAGTTCATTCTCTTTGGCTGCCAGGTTACACTGATGTGGTGCAAAGCATTCTCATTATATTAACAATGGCTGGACTTTTTCTGGACAGGCCTCATATAGGGCAAAGTCTGGAAAAGTCCCAAGCCCAAGTGAATGCTCTATCTCTGTGAAGTTGTAGCAAACCTGTCCTTCAGCACATGAATGTGTTCACTAATTAGGAAGCTCATCAAATGTCATCGTTCAAGGGTTTTCATAAAGCTTAATCTCCAGGCCCACTCATCTGCCACTTCATTGTAGACATTAGTGAGTGGTGCTGAAAGTTCCAGCCCTCTGATCATGTGTTGTTTTAGGGACCAGACCGATCCTGAACCTCTCCATGGGTTCCATTTTAAGTAACCTTATTGACATAAACTCAGGTATGATGTAAAGGGGCTCATTATGAATAACAAAAACACTCCTGTCTCCCAGGTTTTAGGATCTTTATATCAGGAACTGGGGGATAAAGACCAAATATATTTCTGATTATAATACTCTCAGTTATTCATTCTGCATTCTCAGCTAAGACCCCAGGCAAGTAAGTGTGGCCATCTTAGACTGTTCAGTCACAATCAAGTATCACCATTAAAAGAATTATGAGCTAGTCACAGAATGATAAAAAATAGAAAACATTCACTGTTTTAGTCCACCAAATTTTAGGGTAGCTTGTTACACAGAAAAAGCCGACTAAGATAGCACCTTGTCAGTCATGAAGACAAAGGGAAAAAATAGTTCTACTAAGAATATGAGAAAGAGGATGGTTGTGATTCAGAATGAATTTAGTCTTGAGCTTTCTGGGAGCCAAGGCAAATAAAAGCAATGGGTTATATAGTTCCCATTATCTGAGAAAATAAGTATATAAATTCTGAAGAGATGACAAATATTTTGCTGGTCAAAAAAGGGATAAGTTATATGACAATACTAAAGAGACACAAAATACCATAATACATAAAAGTATCTTCATATTTATAAGCAAATGAAAACAAATTTCTTCATGTGATTTTCTTACCTTAATCCTCAATATAAATTCAGTTAATCCAGTAAGTTACAAAAAAAAATCAGTTTATTAAACCCTAAAGGAGGGAATGATCAACATGTCCATGAAACTGACTAGACATTTTTTAAACATACTTTTGGAAAGAGTTGGGTATGAAGGTAAATCCTTAGATGTGGAAAAAGTTTATTCCTTACACCCCCTTGCCATTCTTTTGTAATACAATCCTCATAGACTGTATGTTACCTTTGTTTAAATAAGCTTTCATTTGAATGAAATAAAAGTCTGACTAGGTTATTTACATTTTTTAAACTTAAAAAGTTGTGTTTCTATAGAACCTGTGACAATGTGACTACATTATTAATGAAATGTTCACCACGTGAATGAAATTCGGACTTCAAAGTTCAGTTTTGATGGTGTTGTTATTATCATTATCAATCATTCACATTTCTTCAACCTATATAAATATGTACTACTTATTAAGCCCAAACTATGAGTAACGTACTATGCTATGTGCTTTAAATGTATGAATTTATTAAATCCTTTCAACTGTCCTGGAGGTAGATATTAAATGCTTGTACTAGTCCTATCCTGGTCCCTTAAATGGCCCCTCTTACACGTGCAAGCTTCCACTGAAACTGCATAAAAAGTCAAATGTCTTAAATCAATGAGGAGAGCTTTGGTAAATTATCTATTTAAACATAGATCAAATTATATCCTTACCTCATGACTTATACTAACATAAATTTGTGAAGGATTTAATCGTTTTAAATGTAAAATTAAGCCATAAAAATTAGGTGATTTATCTCAGGATAAAGAAGAATCTTATATCTCATAGCAATTAAGAAAATCATGAAGTAAAATATCAATAGAAAGACAGCTGAATATTATACTGATACTTATGGTTTCTTTCCTGCAGGAATATAAACATTATTGGACAGAGTTGAGAGGAACTACACTTTTCTTTTATAACGACAAAAAAAGTACAATAGTAAGTAGTTAAACATGTTCAACTAATTCAATTTTTTCATAATATACACTTTTTGCATAGTTTATTATTCATTTGGGGTTTTCTGTGTTCCAAGGGTAAAAATGTTCTAGTAAAACCAATGCAAATACAAATATTTGTATCTGAGATGGTATCAATTATAAGATCCATAGTAATAAAAATTTCTGGGCAACTCAGAAGAAGGTATTACCTCATTTTTTGTGTGTGAATTATATTTTATTGATTATGCTATTACAGTTGTCCTGATGTTCCCCTATTTGCCACCCTCCAACCAGAACACCCCCACTCCCTTAGGCCGTCCCCCTACCATTGTTCATGTCCATGGTTCATGCATATAGTTCTTTGGCTACTCCATTTCCTATACTGTACTTTACATCCCCATGGCTATTCTGTAACTACATATTTGTATGTCTTAATCCCCTCACCTTTTCACCCATTGCCCCATGCCCCCTCCTATCTGGCAACCATCAAAACAATCTCTGTATCCATGATTCTGTCTCAGTTCTTCTTGTTTGCTTAGTTTGTTTTTTAGATTCAATTGTTGGTAGATATGTATTTTTTGCCATTTTTTTTGTTCATAGTTTTGATATTCTTTTTCTTAAAAAAGTCCCATTAACATTTCATGTACTAATAGTTTGGTGATGATGAACTCCTTTAATTTTTTAATGTCTGGAAGCACTTTATCTGCACTTTGATTCAAAATGATAGTTTTTCTGTGTAGAGCAATCTTGGCTGTAGGTCCCTGCTTTTCATGACTTTGAGTATTTCTTTCCAATCCCTTCTATCCTGCAAAGTTTCTTTTGAGAAATCAGCTGACAGTCTTATGGGAACTCCCCTGTAGGTAACTAACTTCTTTTCTCTTTCTGCTTTTAAGATTCTCTATCTTTAACCTTTGGCATTTTAATTATGATATGTCTTGAGGTGGCCTCTTTGCATCCATCTTGTTTGGGACTCTCTGTGCTTCCTGGATTTGCATGTCTAGTTCCTTCACCAAATAGGGAAGTTTTCTTTCATTATTTTTTAAAATAGACTTACAATTTTTTGCTTTTTCTCTTCTCCTTCTGGCACTGCTACAATGCAAATGTTGAACTTCCTGAAGTTGTTCCAGAGGCTGTTTATGCTATCCTCATTTCTTTGGATTATTTTTTCTTCTGGTTGTTCTGATGGGTTGTTTTTTGCTTCCTTATGTTCCAAATTATAGATTTGATTCTCAGCTTCATCCATTGTACTGTTATTTCCCTGTAAATTGTTCTTTATTTCAATTAGTGTATCCTTCATTTCTGACTGGACCGTTTTCATGCTATTGAGGTCCTCACTACATTCCTTGAGCATCTCTATAACCAGTGTTTTGAATTCTGCATCTGATAGGTAGCTTATCTCTATTTCATTTAGCTCTTTTTTTTGAGTTTTGATCTGTTCTTTCATTTGGTCCACATTTCTTCGTCTCCTTATTTTGGCAGCCTCCCTGTGTTTGTTTCTATGTATTAGGTAGAGCTGCTTTGACTCCATGTTTTGGTAGTGTGTCCTAATGTAGTAGGTGTCCTGTAGGGTCCAGTGGTACAGCCTCTCTTATCACCCAAACTTAGTACTCAAGGTGCACCCTTCACGGGGACTGAGTACACTCTCCTCTTGTAGTTGAGCCTTGGTGGCTGTTGGCAGATCAATGGAAGGGATTTACCCAGGCCAGTGAGCTGCAAAGAATGGCTGTGACCACTTACGACAGCCACTGCCTTCTGTGGAGGATCAGCTGTGCAAGGGCAGGTGGTGGTGCTCCGACGTGGTCTGTAGCTGTCCACTGGGTATACTGGTCCTGGGGTTTCCTGGGTGGTGCAGGCCAAGGTCAGCCCTCACCTGTGTTTTGTCCAGAGCCACCCTGCCTGAGCTAAAAAACAATCTGGCTACTACTTGTACTGGGTTTGGAGATTCCCAGGCAAAGCCAAGCTGTGAAATCTAGGCTGGCTGCTGATAGTGCTGGGCCTGGGGCTCACTGAAGCCAGTTGTTGCTTATTTGAAAGGATTTAGGAATTTGTGAAGCATGAGCCAAGATAAACCATTCATATGGGCCCCTAAGTTGGGTGGGGCAGAGTCTCTGAGTCTGCAAGGCAGGTCAAACAGTATTAGCCAGGTTGATGGAGTCTCAGATATGGCACCAGCTTGCTGGCTCTGTAGTGGGGAGTGTTTAGAAAAGGGACAATGGCCTCTACTTACCTTGATGCCAGGCACTTCATTTTCTCCCTATATCTTTCAAGCTGCTACCCTGGTGCTGGAGCTCAGAAGGAGTGAGTCTGAGTAGGTAAGTCTGTGTGGGGGGTTCTTTAAAAGGAACTGCCTGGGGTCTAGAAGTTTATTCCATCAACTCAATCCCTGCTCGTTTTTTTGCAGCCAGAAGTTGTGGGGACTTATCTTCCTGGCACTGGAATCCTGGGCTGGGGGGCCTGGTGCGGGACTGGGACTCCTTGCTCCTGGGATACCCTTCCCGAATTTGTATCTACCAGTGTGGATGTGGGACTAGTCTGTTCCGTGTCTGCAACCCTCCTATCAGTCTGGATGCATGTGGCTTCTTTAATTCCATAGTTGTCAGACTTCCATTCACCTTGATTTCTGATGGTTCTGAGTGATGGTTGTTCTATATTTTAGTTGTAATTTTGATGTGGTTGTGCCAAGAGGCAAGCCTTGTCTGCCTATACTGACATCTGGACTGGAAAGAAATTATATATCATATTTTAAACTTCACATTCTTTTCTTTCTGATCCTGATAATAAAATCTTGGTCAAAAAGTGAAAATTTTAGCTATATATGTGTATATATATATATATATATATATATATATATATATGGACACAATAGCCTAATACCAAGTGATATCTTAATTTCTCTCCTTTTTATCTTTCTGTCACATGCAGTTACAATCTGCAAGGAGCTAGATGATCCCTAGAGCCTCATAACATACAGTATGTTACAATTTATTTTTTTTTAGATAGACAAAAGCATGCCCCATCAAACAGGACTACTAAGAGCTCAAGCATGAGAAAAACAATGAAGAGATTCTGATATTTATTTATTAATATTGGTGTCAAGTAATTGACTTGTATTTCCATTTTTTTACACACACATAGAAATTAAAAGTGATTGTGTATTTCATTCCCCCCCCACAAATAAAATGTAGTATTTTAGTGCCAAATGCTTGCCTACATTGAAATGCTAAGTTTATGAGATTTCATGATCCAGTAACTTGTTTAAATAAAAACATTTTGGACCACAGAGGTAGTAGCCCGCAGCCCTTAGAACATTGTTTTTACATATCAAGATCTTATAAAAGAAACAGAAAGAGAGCTTGTATTCCACTTGCAGGCATCTCAGCACCATTAGTGGTAAACAGAAGTCATTTTATTTTGAAGATTTTATTTATTTATTTTTATAGGTGGGGAGGGAGGGAGAAAGAGAGGAAGAGAAACATCGATGTGTGAGAGAGACATCAACCAGTTGCCTCTCGCACTCCCCACTGGGAACATGGACCACAAACCAGGCATGTGCTCTGACCAGGAATCAAACTGGTAACCCTTTGGTTCTCAGGCCAGTGCTCAATCCACTGAGCCACACCAGCCAGAGCCAACCAGAAGTCACTTTGAAAAAAACAAAACAAGACAAAAAAGTGGTTATCTTTCACCATAGTTCTGGATGGACAAGACTTATATAGAGGTGTTTTTGAATACTATAATAATTTTTAACATAACTAATTTCCCTCTTGTGTCTTCCAATTTCCCACCGATGTCACTAAAAATTTAAAGACCCTGGTAATCCTTTATAATATACATTATGAGAGAGTTAATAGTTATTCCTCACTGCAAGAGGCAGTGCAGCTTAGTGACTGAGAGCCAGACCTTCAGGTCCTGCCACTGTTCATTCTGCTGGCTTGGTATCTGGGCTACTTACCTAACCCCTCTGTATCCCAGTGTATCAGATATGAACTGGTACAAAACAGCCGACATCTCAAACTGGGCAATTTGAAGAGAGTTTAATATAGATACAAGACTCAAAGCAGTGGACAGGATGTAGGAAAACTACAAGGGATAATATAGAACCCTGAGGCTAGTTAACAGTACCCCGTTACCACGCGGAGGAGTAAGGAAAGGGTGAGAGAACAGGGGTGAGATTTGCGTGAGGATGACTGCCCTGAGAGGAGTACGATCTTTGGTTCAGGAAGCAACTGCCTAAGGTAATAAATATCTGACTTCACACTTCTCATTCTTTTACCGGCTGCCAGTTTTCACCAGCAGTCCAACCCAGCAGCAAGTCAGAGGGTAAGGGTGCTCATAATGTGGTCCATATAGATCCCTATCCTGGTGCACAGTATTGGGTGGTGAAGAGATAAAAGTAAATCTAGAGGTTCAAATAAAAGATCTCCAACACACTTAGTTTCAAATCTCTAAAATTAGGATGTGGAAAAATAGCCTATCTCATAAGGTTATCAAAAGGATTAAATGAGACAATAAATGTAAGGCATAGTAAGCATTCATGCATTTTATATGCATTTTCTCATTTAATTCTCACAACAACTCTGCAAAGCAGGTATTATTTTAACCCCCAATTTATAGATCAGAGCAGGCAAGTTTAAAGATTAAGAAATTGTACAAGATCAGACAGCTAACAAAAGTGGTGCCATCCAAGTCTAGCTTCAGAGCGAGCATTCTTAACCACTATGCCATGAAGACTGTTAAAATGAAATGGTACAGAATTGCCCACCTGCCAATTGTGTTAAAAGAGGATGCAGAATTTTGGGGAGACTTTTTGGGTGATAGTCATAGGAGAAAGCACAGGAATAGAACAGGTAAGAACTATAAATATTTAGCCTAGAATAAGGAAGAATTTAAAGCTACATTTACATATCTGAAAGGCTGGCAGGTCATGTGAGTCACCAAATTCATTCAGTGTTATTCCAGAGAAAAGTTACTAGGACCAATGGATAAAAATTGCCTGAAGGAAAACTGTAGCTTCATAGAAGAAAAAAATATCTAGCAGACAAAACTTCATAGGAGGCATTAATTCCATGTTGTTTGAGATGTTCAAACATAGGGTAGATGACTCTGTAGAAGGACAGCCTGGAGGACATTCAAGCATCAGATGGGAGCTAGATTAGACAGATGACCTTCAAGGCTCTTTTCAGCATTAAAATTAAAAACAAAAAGATATGACTTCCTTTTATTAGATCAATAGGTCAGCTTAGAGTCACTTTATCTAACTGTGACACTTCTTCCTTTGTTGCTTCCTCCTGTCTCAGCAAAATTTACTGAGCTCGATCTAGACAATGCATCAGATAGATTCTGGCATAATTTTAAATTCCTCCTTCCCTTATAGTTCCTCTTCTATGTTTAATGTCTGTTTGTTTATTAAAAATAAATAGACCAACTCAAACCTACCCTCAATCTAATTAACATAGAAATAGCTCTGGAGAATTTTTTTTTTTTTACTATTTTTATGCCATAATTTATTCAGCAAAATAATACAAGAATATTGTAAAAATAAGTCATATTAGGCCTAACAGAGAGAAAAATGAAAGGAGATTAAAAAAGTCAAGAATGAGTCTAATTTAGCAAAATTAACTATTTTATCAAATTTAGCAAAAAATTATACCATAGGAACCCTACTATCCTTACTAGAGGTGGTCCTAATCTTTCTAATACTAGACAGCAACTCTGGCCAGTTACATACAAACGAGTCTACATAGACTAATTGCTCAAAGGACATTTTTTTTTTTTTAAAGATTTTATTTATTTATTTTTTAGAGAGATGGCAAGGGAAAGGAGAGAGGGGAACATCAATGTGTAGTTGCCTCTTACGCGCCCCCTACTGGGGACTTAGTCCACAACCCAGGTATCTGCCCTGACTGGGTATCCAACTTGCGACCCTTTGGTTTGCAGGCTGGCACTCAATCCATTAAACCACACCAGCCAGGGCATCAAAGGACATATTTTTATTGTACTACTGGGATAAGCTAGGATTTCTTAATAGGATCTCAAAACCAATAGTATGCAGTAAATGTTGAATAGTGCTTTCTGGAAAAATACATGTATGAATATATGTATATAAATTTATACAAGTATTATTTACATAAAGAATGTATAGTGCACAGTTAAAAATAGACAATACTCTTTGTTGTAATTTTCATATAACCAATTGATTCTTGTAGAATGTTTTTGTTGATTTTTCTGAACTCATGTTAGATTGCAATTCAATCATTATATGACTTATAGAGTTGTTTTCCAATATGCTATTTTTCTAATAAATTTATTGTCATTAAATATGATAGTTGACATGAATGTTGGCTAATATTTTTGTTTATGTTAATGCGCAAGAGGAAAGTAAAATGACAATTACATATGTCAGAACTCCACCTATATTTCAGTGACATGGGCAACTTCTTTGCTGAATAACAGTTTTTGAATTATAGGTTAATATTTTGTCAAATTTTTGTTCTTTTCAAAATAAAAAGTTTCAGACAAACAAAATTTAAAGTTTCATCTGCGTTATTAACATTTTTTCCTTCACTTCAGTAAGTCTCGACCAGAAGCCAGCAAACTGTGGCCCTTGAGCCAAACTGAGCATGTGGCCCAAAGCTGTACACCCTATGCGCTAAGAATGTTTTTACACTTATAAAGTGTTAAAAAAAAATTTGCAACAGAGGCTGTCTGTGGTCCACAAAGCCTAAAACATTTACTATCTGGCTTTTGCAGAAAAACATTGCTGGCCTCTGGGACAATTAACAAAACAGTAAATCATACCCTTATTTGTAAGGTTTGCCCATTTCCATGGTGTAAATACTCTCACCATGGCTGATTTCAACCTATCATGTGAACTCTCTGAACATGGAAGTGGAAAGAAAGGTACAGTACACACCATGATATAGCATTTCCACCACATGGAAACAAAGATGTAAATAACTTTAAGAGCATAGAGAGTATTATGTAGTTATATAATTAGAAAATAATAAATTTTGAATTTCAATTACCTTTGTTTTTAATTAATTTATTTACTTGTATGTTTATATTATTTAACTTTTAATGAAGGTCGTGTTAACAACCAGCTAGCAAAATCCCTGAAAATTTAACAAATTAGCTTTTGCAAACCAGTATGAACCGGCTGCAGCACACCACCACATAATACATTTCCTAATTTGCCTTCTGGGTTGGGAAGGTATGACACAATGAAAACCAGGATAGCATGCAAAGTATAAATCATTTGGATGGAAGATATTACTTATTTTCCTTCCTACTAAAAATAATGTATGTTGCCCATTAAATAATTTAATGAGATTTCCTTTTACCTTTACAGTATGTCGACAAGTTAGAGATAATAGACCTCACATGCCTTAATGAGCAAAATTCAACTGACAGCTGTGCAAAATTCACCCTTGTTTTGCCCAAAGAAGAAGTGCAACTGAAGGTGAGTGAGGAGAAGCAATTAGTTTGAAACAAGTTGTGGTTATAATAGCGTTCAACTCTTCACAGCCTTGTGACTGAGGTAAAGAGGAATTGTAAGAGGGCCAAGTCCTATACTTCATTAATATATCTTGCCTTTTGCCAAGAACTAAGGTTTTCTAAATAGCGACTTAAAAGGGCATGTTCTCTTGTTTAGTATACAGGCACACTGAAACCATATACTTTGTCCCATGACAAAGTCAGAGATCCCACCTGGTGTTTTTTAAAAGTTGTCCTTGAATTGGTATTCAAGAACTTGGCATTTACCACGCTTCCAGATGATTCTGAGACATGTCCGACATAATGCACGTTTGGAACAGCTGAATTAGACAGAACTGTTATCTCACAAATTGAAAGGCATTCTGCAAGGCAATTGGTCCATACTTTTAAAATTACCAGTGTAAGAAAAGCCAAAAAAAAAACACTGGACCTGTGTTCCAATTATGGAAACTATAAAGTCATGGCAGCTAAATGCAATGTGTGATGTGAATTGGATCCTAGAATCAGGAAAGGAAAAAACAAAGAAACAGAAATCCAACAGCTAAACAGAACATTATTGAGACAATTAGAAAAATTTGAAGAACTGTATATGAGATACACATAGTTTATGAAATATGGTATTAATATAAAACTCTGACCCCCCCCCCACCAGCAGAGATTTGTGTTATATTCACCACCGTACACCAGCATTCAAAGTAAGCCAGTTTAAGTCAACCAATAAATCTAGTAATAACAAATAGAGTAACTTGCAATTGAATAAGGTGTAGTTGGAGTTGGCCCTAAAAGCACTGGTCATTAAGCTTTAGTGTAATATGAATCACTTGTACTTAGGAAATCCGGGCCCCATCCCATAGACCTGGGCCCTAGAATCTATGTTTTAAGCAAGCTCCCTCCACCAGACGGTTCTGATGTGGTGGTTCAGAGCACAGGCAGGACTAGAGTCACATGCCCAGCCTAAATTCTGGCTGTTTTATTCATGAGCTGTGCGATTGCAGGCAAGTTTCTTAACCTCTTCATGCCTCGGTTTCTACAGCTGGTAGTAAATCTGCTCAGATATAACCTTCTTACTGAGACCTACCTGCCCTGTTTTATTAATATGGCAACCCTTCCTGCTCCATGGCATTCTCAGTCTCTCTTACCCTGATCTACATTTTATTTTTCCATTTATTTCCTTTTGACACTATAAAATTTACTATTATTTTTATTATTTATTGTTCCTTGCTAGACCCTAAACTCCATGAGAATAAGGATATTTTTTGTTCTTTGCTGTAAACCAGTACCTAAAACAATGCCTGGCACTAAAAGGCTCTCAATAAATACCTGTTAAATAAATAAATCTGTAAAAAAATGATAGTACCTTTTGCCAAGCTGCCATGAAGATAAAATCAGATAATATATGTGAATAGAATAGTAACTGCTACTTATAAGCACTTAATAACTTTGGCCATATTAGTAGATTTTAGAGCTAATAGTTCTAAGTTTCTAAGGACTAGAACTACTTTGGTTCTACGTGGTTGCCCCAAATTTAAAACCAGTCAATGTTTTAAATACCAATGGGGGATGAACCATAAATTGATATACTGCAGAAATAAGTGTGCTAACATTTATATTTTTTTGAGTTTAGTGAATTTGTACAATTTTACTTGTTTACTAAACAGATTAAAGATATATGTCTGACAAAAGAAAGCAATATTAAAATATTCATAACAAATATACATTGTTCTAAGCAAAAAGAAAAATGAATTGTTTCTTCCACTCAACTAATTCTAAATGATTTTAAAAATTATAGCAGACTTTTTAAAACAGTGTGTTTCAATAGAAGAATTTGCCTTTGTTGATCTTGCTGATTTTTGATGGGATACACAACTTAAGTTTTTTCAAACAATTATGAAATTTGGAAGTTATTTGAAGTTAATAAAGCATTAACATTCATAGTCATTTATGTTTTTTCTTTGTCTTTATCTGCTTTTGTCTTCATCTTTAGACAGAGAATACAGAAAGTGGGGAAGAATGGAGAGGCTTCATTCTTACAGTGACAGAGGTAGGAAGGACATTACTTTTGACTGATTCATTCATTCAACAAATGTTTACTGAACATTTACTATGAGCCATGCAGAGTAAAAGGGGCTGAAGATATAGAAATTGAAAAATACAGATGTAAACCTTCAGACTTACTTGTGAAATTTCTATTTTTGTCGGATGGAGAGGAAGAAATAAATAAACAAGTAAACAAAAAAGATAATTTAAAATTGTGATAATTGCTATGAAGAAAATAAACATTGTGCTAACTAACAAGTAACAGGTGGTCAGTGAGATCTACTTATTTGGTCTCATTCTTTTGACAAGTGGTCTTTGTATAGTCTTATATTTTAGCTTACAGAGCACCCTCTAAAATAATTTCCAAATCTATATTTGTTCATTTAATACATACTTATAACATGCTAACTGAGATGGATTTTATGAATAACATAGACAATGTAACAGGGAAGGACCATCAAAATAAAATTCACTTTAAAATGTTTGTTTAGTAAGCCTTAAGACAAAGGGATGCTTATCTGTTTAACCCTCCTAGCATCTTATCTGAGATTAATAGTAAGATCTATTGCTTATGGTTTACTGTTGTAGCAAGATAACTGCAATTATTTCAAATAAAGCCACTGTAGCAACTGTCTTAGAAACATGAGGTACTTTGATAATCAGCCTCCAAAATAGCATCATCTTCTCTAATACTTTTAGAAGATAAGAAAATTGTCTATGACCACCAGCATAAGTTACATACAGATTCTTTCCTAAGTTCGTTCCTAAGTAAAGGCTTTGCAGTCACGTGGAATAAGCACTGCACTTTACTGAGATGATGGATGCTGATTTTTTATTTTAGTCAATAACATGTAAAAGTTGGAGGCTCAACTACTATGTGCACAGATTAAAGTAGACCATGTAAGGAAATTAAAGACATGTTGACTTCGGGGGAAGAAGAAACTCTTTGGGGAGCTGCATTTCCTTCCTCAGTTGTAGAAAGACAGCATTTTGTGCAATGGTATATCTTCCTTACACTGGGAAGTAAATATCCTCATGAAATCCAAGTAGCCATCAAGGGGTACACTAAAACCACTGGAAAAACTGCGATGCATCTTTCTGGTATACTAATCATACTTGATGTTTTGGTCCCCAAATTTTGTTTTCACATTTTTCCTTGAGGAAAGGATAAACAAGCATTATTTTTAAATTAAAAATTTATAGGTATATTACAGAATATAAAATTTATGTGAATTTCCAAAAGACAAGTTGCCTTAAATTTTGTCCTCTATAAATGTTTTTGCACAATAACCCCAGATCATTCTGCTGTTGTTAGAACTTTTATAGAAGTTTGAGAAAGGCAGACTATTGCTGAATGTGCTGAGATGGTTGCTTTCTTTTTTCTTTTAAGACTTTATTTATTTATTCTGAGAGAGAGGGGAAGGGAGGCAGAGAAACATCAGTGTGTGAGAGAAACATCCACTGGCTGCCTTTTGTGCGCCTCCAGCGGGGGACCTAGTCCACGACCCAGGCATGTGCCCTGGCTGGGAATCAACCTGGCAAACTGGCCTTCTGGTTTGCAGAATGACATCCAACCTACTAACCCACACCAGTGAGGGCAAGACATTGCTTTTGTATGAAAGAAAAATGGAGTTTGAGTCTTGGTTTTACAACTTATTACCTATGTGACCCTGGATAGTTATTTAATCTTTCTGAGCCTGTTTTTTTAATGTGCAGAGTAGGATATCTATTGAACCATTGTTGTGAGAATTTGCAATAATACAATGTTTGGGACATAATAGGTAATTAATAAGGAGTAACTGTTTTATTAGTTTTCCTTCATTCTTAATTTTTTTTTGGATTGGTATACAAAAACATAGCCTTACTGCTTATTAGTTAGCTTAGGTACCCAGAAGAATAGTCTTTAAACCTTTTGTGTACCCTTATTGGTAATTTTTTATTTCAAATTTCATATACATGTATATAAATAAAATGAATTAATTAGATAATAAGTACTTCAAAAACGTTCTAGTGTTTTCTTCCCATTGGACTTTCTTATACATTCCATGGAAAGCATGAATCCCGCTCTGCAGATCAAGAAGTTAATTAGACATATGGCCAAAATGTGGTCTAAATCAGGGGTATAAATATAGACCAGGAGGATATAGGCTACTCAATCCAAAATAGATTTCCTGAAAAGGTTAACAAAAGTAGTAAGTAGAGCAAAATCATAATCTTAATGTGTGATTAAAACTTTGAAATATCCACACAAGCACCCCAAAATATAGACCTCTGATTGCTGATCCTCAGTCATCTAATGAATAGTGCCATCTCAACCCCATGTTACCGTATGGTTGGTGGAGATAATTCTCCATTACCTGTGGGAGAGCTACGCACTTCATAGGTGCTCTTGGACTTCCCTGGCAGTGACAACCAGTAAACTCAGAATGAAAACAGGAGAAATCTGTTGTTACTTGAATTAGCCTTTAGTACAAGGTGGGTGTACTTTGCTTAAGGGCCAGATGAAAAGGAATATTTCCTGGAAGAAGATCAGGCATCTTGTACAGGTTCTAGTTGGTTTAAAGGCTGTTCTAAGGACGACTACCCCTACACCAAGGCTGTCTCTTCGTGATTCTACCCACCCATCTCTGCCAGGTAACTGAAGCTCCTTAGGGTCAGAACAGGCTCATCTTTGCTAAAAATCAGTTGGTTATTTTGCTGTCTTTCTTGTTTGCTTGTTTTCATTGGTTTTAGCTGTCAGTCCCTGAACATGTGCCGCTTCTCCCTGGACAAGTATTTAGACTGCATGAAGTCTTGGAGAGAGAAAAGAAAAGAAGGATTGAGACAGAGCAGCTCCCGAGCACATCTCTGGAAAAAGAGAGGGAATTAAGTGACGATTATGTGGATGTACTGAACCCTATGCCAGCGTAAGTGCACCATCAACTCCAGTTTATTTATCAGATTGTAACATTAATTTCTATTTATCAAGGAGAATTAATTGTTGACCTCATTAAACCAGGGGCAACAAGCTGTCTTGTGGATAAAGAGCATACTTCTGAGTACACGCCACATTTCCTCTTCTGTGTCATGATCAACAAATGCAAAATGCAGATTTGAACCAAATATCGTACCACACAGGAAATCCCCTTCTACCCACACTTTTAGACCAAAGAAGTATTCTTTCCAAAGTTTAAACCTAAATAAAAACTGCTATGAAGAAGGAAGGAAATGGTATTTTTTTTACCTTGCAACTCTCCAATTGACTGATTTTTCTATCAGAAAAGTACACCAAAAAATTAAAAATAACTGAACATTCTATCCAGTTGTTCAGTCAATCAATGAGCAGTCATTGAGCTTGGACTTGGAAGAAGGCCTTCTATAAAGTGTATAAGGTGTTTTTGGAAAAATTGAGGCTGGATTCAGATATATATATCTCTCTATATAGATATATATATTTTTACTGTTATATTGTTAAAAAGTGTGACTAAGATAGTGAACACCTTCCTTTTGGAATCTTGGTCAAGTTCTCATCAGTCAAACTTGTCTGGTACCATCTTTGACATCAAGTTATGATTCACGTTTTTTTCTGGACTGTAATCACCAAAATCTTCTCACCCTAACTTTCAGCTGAACCAATGACAACTGATGACTGATAGGTTAAAAGTCACAGCCCTGGCTGGGTGGCTTAGTTGGTTGGGGCATTGTCCCGGACACCAAAAAGTTTACGAGTTTGATCCCTGGGCATGGTTCATATCTAGGCTGCAGGCTCAAAAAAAACAATAAATGTTCAACAAAACAATATATGTTTTTACACATCAATAAAAAGAAGACTAAAATCCTTTGTTCCACAGCTCAAAGATATCTGCTGTTAACATTTTGGTGTATTTTACATATTCTGCCAGATATTTTTCTGTGACTTACATGTAAAAACACCATCAATGTCATAAGAAAGCCATAATATACCAAAAGGAGTGAGTTAATACATACCCTTAAATATGAGTTATTTAAAATAGAGACCGTATAAGAGAAGCCTGTATCGAGATATTTTATATCTCTAGAAAGAAGCCACCAACAAATGTAACTTAACCAAGAGTCTATTATTATAAACTAAGACTGGAGAGACATTGTTAATTCTTGTCTTAGATTTTCAAATGGTAATAATAATTATATGCTGATGAGTAGAGAACTTTTCAGGTCCCGTTTGGTTAGAGAAAGAGGCTTTGGAGGGATGAGGGAAGGACGGCCTTAGGCGTACTCACAGTGGCACAGGCTTGTAATTACAGTAATTATAATTATAAAAATAAAGCTGAGAATTTTAAGAAAAGTTTATAACTGCAGTTCTTAAAGTTACTTTAGTAGCATTTTGTCAAGTAATTACTGTTTTTTTTTAAAAAATGTTTTTTATTTCACCTCTGTAGATGTTTTTATACAGTGTCTCGGAAAGAAGCAACTGAGATGCTTGAAAAGAATCCTTCGCTGGGGAATATGATCTTGAGGCCTGGTAGTGACAACAGAAATTTCTCCATCACTATCCGGCAGGAGAGAGAGTATGTTTAATTAAAAAACATATGGAATTATTAAAAAGCATGATCCTTTAGAGAGCAAAGTCATAAAGTTTAGAGGAGCAACTGCTATGTGTTTTGTTGGAGCTAAAAATACAAACACAAAGATAGGAAGGGAGGCTGAAGACTGAGCCAAGGCTAATATTTGCTACAGGGTAAAAAGAATGAGCAAATTACTTTGGTCCTGGATATAATTTGTTCGTTCATTCATTCGTTCATTCATTCATTTCAACAAATATTTGTTGAGCAATTACTATGGGCCAAGTAATATTCTAAGTACTGAGGATGCAGCAGTGAGCAAAACATCCCTGGTTTAAAGAAGCTTACATACTTGTAAGGAGAGACAGGTTGTAAATAAATACGTAACCCAGAATTTCATACATATAGTAATAAGGCCTATGACAATAAAATAAAACAGGATGAGGGAAATGGGAACCTTAGAGGTCATAAAGAGAGAAAATTACATGTGCACTTCGGTAGCACGCCTACGAAAACTGGCATGATACAGGGATAAGCATGGCCTCTGCATAAGGAGGACAGTGCAGATGTAGTGAAGTGCTCCCTATTTTAAAAAAAGAGAGAAAGAAAAAAGTTTCTAGTTGCTGTTTTTGTTTAGTATAGAGTGGTCAGGAAAGGCCTATTTTATTAACTGACATTTAAGCAGAGACCTGAAGGAAGTGAGGGAACAAAGCATTTCAATTCCTGGAAATAGAGTATACTAGGCAGCAGGTGAATATGCCCAAAGGCAGAAGCAGCCTTGGCTTTTTCAAGAAACAGAGAGAGGCCTTTGTGGTTTTAATGGCGTGAGCTAGAGGAAAGTGGCAGGGGCCTGATTCCAAAGGTGGGGTAGGGACTGATCACACTAAATGCTATAGGTCGTTGTGAGGACAAAGGTTTTACTGTGAATGGCAAGACAAGCCTCTGGAGTGTGGTGAGTAGAGAAGTAACAAAATCTGGTTTATCTATGAAGAACACCATCAAGGAGCCTCTTGTCAAGGTTAATAATTTCTGGTAAAATGGTTTATGTTTGATAAAGTACCATTTACATGCACAAGTTGATTTTTCTGTGTACCTAGAGTGGTTGGATCTTTTAAGCTTCATTTCAGCTCTCAGAGCCTATGAAAATTTGCATTTCAGTAGCAACTCTGGTTTAGTTAATATTTTTACAACTGATAGTATTATTAACATATAGAGGTTTTTGTCCCATGTGAAAATATTCAGTAAGTGATTTGTTTTCAGAAAAAAGCATAAACAGAACTTTGATTTTTGAATGTTATTTTTTCTGAAGGCAATAGTTTATTTTTTTAGTTATAACATATCTATCAATGAATCTTCCAGGCTACCATAAATATCAGTAACTCTAAATAAAGTATGAAGATATTGACAATGAATGAAGACAGTAAAAAGAAAACAATCACAGGAAAAAAAATTACGACATTATTGGCTGCATTGCTAGTATAAGCCAAGGTTAATCAGCTTTATTCACTTGCCAATTACTCTGCATATACTAGCCAGGTACATGGAATGGTTGTCAAGAATGTTAGATGATAAATCAGATCCTGGTTCTGTGTGCGAAGTAAGAGAATCTGTGTGTGTCAGTATGTTTTCCACAATGACTATCTGTTGACTGAAACTTTTGGTTTCAATATTTTTTTACTTAGTATAGGCTAATATTTGCAGTTACTGATTTTCAACTAATATAGTAGAATATCACACATTTTCAGTTATAATTTATTTAATTTATCATGTAATTGGCTATCTTGAAACAAATCCAACATAAATAAAAATTATGGTGGCCATTAGATATCAGTAAGCTTAGAAGAACTAGGAGAAAAGTATAATTTTCTGTTTACTTTATCCTGATCAAGGAGATTATCCTTTTTCAGGGGTTAGTAAATTGAGTATCACATAAAATATTGAATGTCTTTAATTATGTTTTTCCACTTCAAAAATAATAATATACAAAATAATTAAAATTTATCTTGCAGATATTTTTTAAAAAAGAAATCATCTAACTGCTTGAAAGATAGGTTATATCATACAAAGGAATGATGATCATTTTTCCTTCATATTATTATTCTCCTTGGTGGGATTGAGTGTTTGATCAGGTGCCTGTGAACCCCATGTTACTATTCTGCATGTAACAAAATCCTGAGGTCTAATGGCTCTTTAAAGACTGTGTATTTCCGGCACAGCAGCAGCCAGGTCTCTTTCAAGGTAATCTAAATTAGCCCAGCTGTTGCACTGCACTTTCTGTACAAGCGAGCTATGAGAAATAAATGTTTTTTGTTTTTTGGGGTTTTTTTTTCCTGCTGTAGATGTGGTTTTTGACCAAGCACAAGGAGTTTCTATACTTAGGAAATGAACTTAATGTCACAGTTTTTACTTATATTCATATTGGATTTAAACTCTTAAGAGTCTGGCAAAGGAATTCATTTCAAAGTTATATATCTCTAATTTAGTATACTCTCAGTTTGAATTCATGTAGTTCATACTCTTGTAGAGCTGATGGTCATAAGAATATAACATCTCATAAAACTAGCTGTTAGTGTACAAATTTTCCTTTTATGAGTCAGATATAATGTTAAGTACTGTTATATGTGTTCTTCAATGCCTCAAAACAGGTCTTTTAGAATTGCTTAGATTTAATATTTTGTATTTAATAGATCACTTAATTTTAAAGGATAGTACTTGTAGAGAGCAGTAGAGTTTCAGCTTGTTAGACTGTAGAGTTTAATGTAAAGATTTGGCAGAAATCTTGACTATTAGGAAGCACCTGTGTTACCCACAAAACCAATTTATCCTCTCACAAGTTGTAGGAGAAATGTTCAGCCATGCAAGTTTAGATGACTGTGTCTGGTAAAACACTAGCTGAAAAGGACAAGTTGGTTTACAAAATACCATGAAAGTAAAATTATCTCCATCTGTAAACAAATCAACTGTGGGAAGGAAGATTGTTGTTTTCAGAAAGAAGCTAAAGTCATTCAATGTCAGATTATCAGGTGACTCCTCTCTTGTTGTAAAATATCCGCCTTTACCCAGCCCAGTGGTGTGTGAATTCTTAAGACATAAAGCTATCCTTACAACAAACTTCATGGTATGGCTGGGTTTTCTAAAAGTTGTTACAACTATGTGGCAAGCTAGGAGTATAAACTCTTTGGAAAGACTTTAACCAAGGGAGTAGTACAAAGTATTTTCCCAAAGTTCATTCCTTTGCAAAAATTGGGGTCAAAGCTAAGATGAAGCATTTATAACCATATTTAAGGCCATACATTCTTTTTTTAAAGATAGGCTACTTCTTTGATTTGAGGTCATACATAGGAAACCTCAATATAGCAAGCTTATCAATCTTATTTTCCCCCTGCTCTCTTTATTCCTTTGGAAAAACAAAACAAAATATAAAAGAAAAACAAAGGTTCAGAATGAAAGTCAAAGCCTAAGTGGAATTTTTTTCTACCTTTCTGCTTCAGAACTTAATCCTGTTAGTCACAAGTTCCAAGAGACCCTGTTAACCTTTGCTACTTTTCCTTTCACAGTGTTGCCATGAATGATAACTGTTATGATACCATGGGTGTTTACGAAGAACAACAATCACTGTCCCCACTTGTAGGCCACCATTTGTGGGTACTATGTTAAGTGCTTGACATTTTATTCAGGCATAGTAAAAACTGAGACAGACAGCATTTTCCATGTGTTACAAATGAAGATGCTGAGACTTTACAGAAACTACTAGCTTAAAATAATACATTTTAAAAATATTAAAAAATAGTAATTTAATGAATAAATAAATGTGCCAGACACTGTACTACGGACTTCTTAAACATAATTCACAATAGCCTTGTTAGCAAAGGCATTGCCTTCCCTATCTTATAGTTGAAGAAGTGGAGGCTCAGAGAGCTTAATGAAACAGAACCAGAGTTTGAACCGAGATCTTTCTAGTTACAAGGGCCTTGCCCTTCAAGCTTTATATAGTCTTCCAAGGAATAATAATCACTTATTTCATTGGAATGCAGGAATTCAAAATGGAATTGGTGCAAGTTTCCAAAAGTAACTATGATTATAAAGGTATGATTTTCATGGCAGGGATAAAGATAAAGCCAGGACCAACCACCCCAACCAAGGGTACTTGTAAGACCTCCTCTGTTCAAAAATGTTTCCTTCACCTACCTGTAACTGATTCCTGAAGGTTCAGTATTAAGACATAATTTTTCCTTTTTACCCTTTTTAGGATGGGAGAGGATTGGTTGGTTTTTATCCCATGTTTTGAAAGCCCTAGAATAAGCCACTGGAATAAAATTATCAGCTGTTTTCCAACTTAATATGCAATTGAGAGATTTGAATATAACAGTAGATGAGGAATAGTCCCTTGAACAGAAGTATAGTTCAGTCCTAGAGAAATGTGACCTGGAAATAGGGAGAAAAGTGCTGAAAGAGGTGAGAAGCCCTGCAGACAAACTTAACCTGACAATTTTGCTTTAACCAGCTTCTGTAAATTGGACAGGTGTTGAATTAGTTTGTCTTTCAAGCAACTGGCAGTGAAATGAAGACTGTTTAATTTTCAACACTGGAAAAGCCTTGGTCCTGACCCTGTTGCTATATCAATCAAGGGAGTTAGAGGCAAACATACTGTTGTTCAAAACTAACTAGCACAGGCACTCGACTTAAACTCTCAGTAGACATTAGTTCTAGAGAATAGTACTATGAGGTAGGCTCCTAAAATTTTAAAATTCAGTTTCCTACATAGTTCTGCATGTCTAATGCTGGAATACAAAGGTGAATAGAGTGTGCTTCTTGTTCTCAAACAATTCAGCCACTAAAATACCACATATTTAGGGTAATATTAATCTAGAGTGTTCAAGGGAGTATAAGGGGACTAAATGGTAATTGAAAAAATACAATAAAGGTTAAATTAAAAAATTTTAGAGTGCTATGTGACTATAGAAGAGAAGGACATTAAGATTCCTCTACTGTACTTACATTTTCACCTAAGTGTTCATAGAGTACCTAACACCTAGCATTTTCCTAGCAAGTCCAATGCAGTATATAAGCTATTAGGAAGAAGAGCCACTGAAGGCTTTCTGACCAGAACAGTGATGAGGTGAAGTAAATTGCTTTCAGTAATCCTTTCTACTTCTCATTTAACATAGAAAATACGTATTTGATTTGTATTATGCCTACCTAAGATTTTATGTTGTTTTCTTTGTAAGTTATTGACATTTAAAAGTATAATTTCTGCCTAAAAGATTTTCAGTTCTTAATTCTTTATCCATATTTTCTTACTGAGCCACTCAATGACCCAGGTTTCCTATATCTTTAGTGTATGGCCACCACCTCCCCCCACTCCCATCCAAAAAAACCAAAACAAAACAGAGAGAACCAGGTAAAGAGGAAAAAAACACTTTTTTTTTTTGCCTAGTCATTGAAACATAGGTTTTATTATAATCACTCTATATATGTGTGTATTTATTTATTTATAAAGAACCATTATTTTATTTTGTTATTTATTGATTTTTAGAGGAGGGGAGAGAAAAACTATATTTGTTGTTCCATTTATTTATGCATTCATAGGTTGATTCTTTATGTATCCTGACTGGGGATTGAACCCATAACCTTCATATTGGGACGATGCTCCAACCGACTGAGCCACCCAGCCAGGGCTTATACTCACTCTAGTTTGATTTGACTCAGGCGTATACGCAAATGGAGATTAACCTTTTTTTTTTTTTTCACTTTAGCATGCCAAGAATCAAGCACTACAAAGTGAAAAGCATAGGAAAAAGCTACACTATTGAACTGGAAAAACCTGTAAGTAGCTATTTCCTTGTCGTTGATGATTTTTCTCCTCCTTCCTTCCAAACATGCTCAAAGAACACAAAGAAAGGTGGAAAAGCAGACTCCTTGCCTAGGAACATAGTGCTGGAGAAAAGCAGCCATGTTAAGGAGCCCCGAGGTGGCAGATATCCAGGGTGAGAAGTGAGATGCTAGAGCAGGTGGATGAAGCAGAATAGAAGATAATCTGCTAAAAATTCTTTACATTTTTCTTTTTATGTAAATCTTTAGCAATATAGTTGTTTCAGGGACAGAAAATATATTGTTAAGCACTTGCTTTACATCCACCAAAATAAGTATTTCAGTACTTATTTACAAATTAAAACCATTTTTCCACTAAATTTGACATGTAAAATTATTTTATATTAGTTTCAGGTGTACGGAGGATAGAGGTTAGACATTTACATAATTTACAAAATGATAGCTCCGATATGTTTAATACCCACCTGGCACCATCCATAGTTGTTACAATATTATTGACTATGTTTCCTATGCTGTACTTTACATCCCCATGACCATTTTGTAACTACCAATTTGTACTTTTTACTCATTTCACCTTTTTCACCCAGCCCTGCAACCCTCCTCCCATCTGGCAACAACCAGTTTGTGGAGGATATAGTGGGGGAAATGGTGATGGACAGAGACTTGACTTGAGGTGGTGGACACACAATAAATACAGTGTACAGATGATGTATTGTAGAACTGTGCATCTGAAGCCTGTATAAATTTAATAAATGTCACCCCAAAAAATTAAATAAAAAGAAAAAAAATGAGTTTGTACTCTATGTGAGTCTGTTTCTGTTTTACTTATTTTGTTCTTTAGATTACACATGTAAGTGAAATCATATTCTATTTGACTTTCTTTGTCTGACTCATTTCACTTAGCATAATACTCTCTAGGTCCATCCATGATGTTTTAAATGGTAAGATTTCTTCTTTTTTAGGTGAGCAATATTCCGTGGTATATATGTAGCACATCTTTATCCAATCATCTATTGATAGACCTTTGGGTTGCTTCCATATCTTGGCTATTGTAAATAATGCTGCAATGAACATAGGGATGCAAGTATCTTTTTGCATTGGTGTTTTGGATTTCTTTGGATAAATACCCAGATGTGAAACTGCTGCCTCATAAGGTAGTTCTATTTAATTTTTTGAAGAGCTTCCATACTGTTTTTCATGGTGGCTGCATCAGTCTGCATTCCTACCAACAGTGCACAAGGGTTCCTTATGTTCCACATCCTTGCCAGCACTTGTTTGTTGGTTTATTGATAGACATTCTGACAGGTGCGAAGTGGTATCTCACTGGTTTTAATTTGCATTTCTAGTAATTAGTGATTTTGCATCTTTTCACGTCTATTTGCCATCTGTGTGTCTTCTATGGGGAAGTGTCTCTTCAGGTCCTCTGCCCACTTTTTAATCGGATTGATTGGTTTTTGGTATTGTTATATGAGTTCTTTATAAATTTTGGATATTAACCCCTTATTGAATGTATCCTTAGCAAATATTTTCTCCCAATCAGTAAGCTGTCTTCATTTTCTTGATGGTTTCCTTTGCTCTGCAGAAACTTTTTAATTTGATGTAGTCCTATTTATATATTTATTTATTTGCTGCTTTGTTCCCCTTGCCCAAGGAGGTATATAAAAAAAATATTAAGAGCAATGTCAGGTAGTTTATTGCCTATGTTTTCTTCTTGGAATTTTATGGGTTCAGAGCTTATTTAAGTCTTTAGTTCATTTTGTGCTTATTCTTATATATTGTGTAAGGTGGTCTAGTTTTTTTTCTTTTTTGCATGCCTGTGTCGTTTTCCCAACTCCATTTATTGAATAGACTATCTTTACCTCATTGTATATTCTTGCCTCCTTTGTCATAGATGAATTAACCATATAGACATGGATTTCTGGGGGTTCTTCAATGTGCTTATTTCTAATGGGAAAACAGCTGTGAATGCCTTGTCCTCTAATACACACCATGCAAAATTTCAGAAATCCCCCTCTTAATAGCAACATAAAGAAAGGGTTTTGTCCTTGTCTGCAACCCTCTTCTACCCCGACCAACTTATAATGGGGCTAATGATATATTATAAACACTACCTACGCTGTTAGGCACAGAGCTAGTACTTTATGTGCACCATCTAACTTATTTTTTATCCTTACCCTGAGGCAATGCCTATTATACAGGTGGGAAAACTGGTATTTATTTACACTGACCTCAACTAGTGAGAATGTAGCAATGTGGCCTATGGTCCAGGATGCTGAAAAAAGGGAAGATAGCCCTGTGATGTTAGGCTGTGATGGTGGAAAGACGGGCCCAGGAAATAGCACTTAAATGAAACCCATGGTTCTTGAAGATATTGACAATAAATTTTCTAAAATTGAGCTTCTAGCTCTCCTGTCCCTCCATGCCCATTGTGTTGATCAAACAGAGAAAGGGTCAGCATGGTTGAATTTATGTTTTGACCATCACTCTTAGAGTGCAGTAGTGACATCTGCCCAGAGTAAGGCAGCTGCTGATTCATGTATCCCACTTGAACTTTTGCTCTGGGAAATTCCCAGAGCTGCTCCATTCTCAGGTCCATGCCTGACTGGGATTTTTCAAAAATTCTAATGAAAACAGAGAACTAGATTGCTGAAGCATAATCCAAACAACCAAGTGAGTGGAAGCAGTGGTCAGCGAAGAATGTGTCTCTGTGAGTGGCGACCTGGGGCTCATCTATCTGTCATTAACCCAAATGGTTCCCAGTGTATGCCTGGATTATTCTTTCCCTTTCACATTCCTCAACCCACCCTCAATGAGGGTGTCACTTTCTGAATTTTTTTTTGTCTTTAAGGTTACCAGGAATATTGGGGGTAGCAACACATTTCAATTATTCCTTGCCAAGCAAATTATCCTGTTACAATGAGGTATTAAAATGCTAGTTTCTCTGTTTCAAGCAGAAGAAACCAACTATGGTTAAATTAAGCAAAAATAAATTTAAGAACATAGGAAGCACATAGCATGACTGGAAGGTTAGAAAACAAGGGATTAGGAAGCAGTTATAGTAAAAACCATCTGACTAAGAATCTACTCTTCCTCCTTGTTCCTCTACTCAAGTTCAAGTTTCAGAAGGGGAGCATTTCTGACCTAACTTGAGCCACATTTTCATGTAATAACTAGGGAAGGACAGAGTACCTAATTATTGTCCACCAAAATGTATCCAATGAGAAAGGGGAAATTCCTCAACAGGGAATCAGCTATGATTAAAAGGAGGAGTAAAATCACAGGGAAGCAAAACCATTTCGTAAGCCATTGAAGTGAGGTATGGATATGATTTTCTGGGGGTCAGGAAATATACAGTAATCTCAATTGAATTTCAGTTGAGCTTTCTCTTACTCTGTCTTTACACAGGTGACATTGAGCCTTTTCTCACTCTTTATACAGGTAACGCTCCCAAACCTTTTTAGTGTCATTGATTATTTCATGAAGGAGACTCGAGGAAATTTACGACCGTTTATATATTCAACTGATGAAACTCTCGGTATGTTCATTTCATTCCTGTATTAAGAAAAGCAAAGCAAAACAACTCTGTATACGATTTAATACCTACAAGATAAAGTCCTACAAGGTATCCATTGTAGGAATTTACCCATTTAGAAATCATTTTATCACTGACTGAAAATAAGGGAATACCAGCATATTCTGGTAGATAAAGAATGGGTCCATTCTAGAGAAATAAAAACCCTGAGGCATGTGTTATGACTAGTAACTTCATTTCATTATTCTACTTGGCTTTATCAAATAAATTCAGAGATAAGAAAAGCATAGTAGTCATGGAAACCAAACAGGAAATTTAAAGGCAGGGTGTGTCAACACTGTCAGATGCTCTAGACACGTTAAAGTGGATGAGGGTTAAGAAAAGACTATGGGAATTGGCCATTAGGCAGTAGATGACTTGAGAGAGAGGTCTTATTCCACCATAAAGGCAGAAGTTGGTGTGAAGATAACAAGGAGTGAGTGGGTGGTAAGAAACTAGATAGAGATAATAGATAGTAGACAGAACTAACTACAGAATCTGTGGGGCCCCTTGTTCATAGATAACCAAGAATCTTAAAACAGTAACAGCAGATCATTAAACCAAGCACAAGACCCTGTGCTACTGCACAGTTCACATGAAGGTGAAATTGGCCCTGTGTGTACTTGCTTGCCAGAGCAGGGCAAGCTGAATGTGAGTTTCCTCCATACTTTGAAACAATCCCTGGTTCATGGTTGCTTGACAAGCTGTAAGCAGGAGAGAGACAAATATTTCCAACTTGTTTGGATTCAGTTATCAAGTCTGTGTTCCTATAGATTTTAAAGGAAAACAACTTTGTTTGGCTACATGCATGATGGCATTATTTAGAAAATCTCCCTAATTAAAAGGGCAGAAAGTTTAAAAAGTTTAAGTTTTGAAACATGGCTGTAAGTCTTATGAAGCCCAATAATTAATAACTCAGTCTGAAGGAACTTTAGAAAATGATCCAGTAGCGTGTCTTACTATTATAGAAATCACCTGCACACTCAGTACAGAAACCAACTCTAAGGTGTGACCATTCAGCTTGTTTGAAAATTTCTAACGATAGCCACCTCACTGATTTTTGAGGTAGCACAGTTCACTTTTGGTCAGCTCTCATTATGAGAGAATTCCTCCTTAAGTATGAAACATTCCTTCAACTTCTACATATTAATCCAATTTCTGGCTTCAAGACAACACAGGGTTTTAATAAGTCCATCAAATATTTAAAAACAGCCACAATGCCACCCCACTCCCAGTGTCTGTCATCTACAAATTATTGGTTCCTTAAGCACTCTTTCATCTTTGACCTTCTCGGTACACTAGTATCTGAGCATCTCTCATGAAACATAACCACAAGGGATGACACATTCTTACAGATCTGTCCAGCATAATACCCCTCTGGGAATGAGCTATTAATACTATTAATGAACTTTTTAATTTTTTTTTCCAGAAACCGAAGGATTGCCTTTAACATCTCTAAAATAAATAAAAAAAAAAAAAAAAAATTAGGCTGGGGGGAAATCCAGTGTAATTTACCTCCTCAATGGATGATACTGTGTTAGTTACCTAATGTTATGTAACAAACCACCCCCAGAACATGCGGTTTAACAAACCACCCCCAAAACATGGTGGTGAAACAAACCTTTTATTTTCTCATGACTCTGTGCATCAGCAAGTTGTGCTGAACCACTCTCTTCATGTGGTCTCTAATCCTCGAGGAAGTTACCTGGGGCCTCTCATGAGATCTCAGAGAAGTTGAGATCTGCATGTCCTTGGGCTAGAAATTCTAAATGTTGAGAATAAAGTTCATGAAGTCCTTACTTAAGTTGTTGACAGGTTATGCACTTTGAAGCAAAAGGATGTTTAACAAAACCAATGTTATCATAGGCTAATTAAGAGTTAAGTTTCCACAGCAGCTTATCAATGTTGTAGCAAAACACTGAACTAAACTACATTTTCTGAGGACCTGCTTTCTTGGAGCTTTTAATAGAGTAGAAGCTGTGAAGTGATTAAATAATTCCAAGTGTGTTATGTTTGATGTACAAGGGTCATCTTTCTTTTTTGTAAAAAAATTATTTACAGCAACATTTTTGGTGTACATACAGCAACATTTTTGGTGTACAGTCTTACCAATTTTGACAGCCACCACTACAATCAAGATACAAAAAGTTTAGTTACCTCAAAAAACGCCCTGACGTTCTTCCTTTGCAGTCAGCCCTTTTTATTGTCAGTCTCTGGCAACCACTGATCTGTTTTCCATTCCTATAGTTCTACATTTTCCAGAATGTCATATAAGTGGAATCACAGTATGGAATCTTTTTAGGCTGATTTCTTTCACTCATCACAATGTCTGGATTCATACATGTATAGTATTACTAGCTTGTTTTTATTTTAAGGCTGAATAGTATTTCACTGTATGGAGATACAAGTTTGTTTATCCACCCACCAACTTAAATGTATTAGTGTTGTTTCAATTTTTTGGCAATTATTAAGCTGTATAAATACTATTATACAGATTTTTTGTGTGAACTTTTTCATTTGACCTGGGTATGTAGGAATGAGATAAATGTATGTATAACTTTATACAAACCTGTCAAACTCTTCACAAATGGTCCTTTTTGCATCTCTACTATCAAGGTCTGAGAGTTCCAGCTGCATTCTCACCAGTACTTGATATGGCCATTTTTTTAAAAAAAGATTCTAAGTGTGTAGTGGTCTATGATTTTAATACGCATTTCCCTAATGATTGATGATGTTGAACATGTTTTCGTGTGTTGTCACTGAAATACTGAATTTGATAAAATATCTAAATGTTTTGCCCATATTTTTATCAGGTTGTTTTATTATGGTAGAGTTTTGCCACATCTGTACATATTCTGAATACAAGTCCTTTGTCATATGTGATTTGAAATTCTTTTAACAGTGTCTTTTGCAGAGCAGTTTTAAATTTTCAATTTAAAATTGAAATTTATCAATTTCAATTTTACAAATTATCAATTTTTCCATACTTTTGTGTACCTGAGAACTCTTTGACTAACCCAAGATCACAAAGATTTCTTTTTTCCTATCTTTTCTTCTAGAAGAGTTATTGTCTTATGTTCTACATTTACATCTATGCTCCATTTGGAATTAATTTTTTTAAGGTCAATTTTATTGGCTATTAGGCATGTAATTGTTTAGCACCATTTGTTAAAAAATCATCCTTCCTTTATCAAATCTTTAGCATCTTTGTAAAAAAAATCAACTGACCATGTTTTTGTGGATCAATTTCCATTTATTTATGTTCCTTTTGCCAATGACATGCTACCTTGATTACTGTAATTTTATAGTAATTCTTGAAATCAGATTTTTTTCAAAATTGTTTGGACTAATACAGTTTTTTTGCCTTTCAATATGTTTTATTTAAAGATCTTATTTTTTGAGAGAGGAGAGGGAGGGAGAAACAGGAAGAGAAACATGATATATGAGAGATATTTCAATAGGTTGCCTCTTGCACACCAACTGCGGACCTGGCCCATAACCCAGGCATATACCCTGACTGGGAATACCACTGGTGACCTTTTGGTTCACAGGCCAGCATTCAGTCCACTGAGCCACACCAGCCAGGGCTCAATATAAGTTTTAGAATTAATGTGTTGTTAATCCACAGAAAAGTCCTTCTGAGCTTTGATTGGGATTTTGCTAAGTCTGTAGATCAGTTCAGGGAGAAATGACAAAAGGATGAGTTCTCGCTTGGGGTTTTAGGCAATCACACTACCTCAGCTACGGTGCAGCACCTTGACTAGGGGTCATCCTCAGAGCAGGAATAGAAAAAACAGAAAAAGAAAAGAAATGATGAAAATGGGCTGTTTATATAAAATGTCAATAGTTTTAGAAACAGCTAGATTACTATTGCTCTGGTGGCTGAACTCATTCAATTTGCTTTGTGAGCAGAACAAAATATTCAACTTGCTTCCTGCATTTCAGATTAGGAAATAATACATGGACATATGGAATTAGAGAGACACATGGAGACAGACTTAAAATAATCAGCCTATCTTCTGTAGAATAATGCATTTTCTTTCAAAAGCAGAAAGATAATGTAAAAGTAAGCTGGAAGAGCAAATGAGAGTAAAAATAGAGTTTCCTAAGAAAAACGACGAAAAGGTCAAAACCTATCTTGAAAAACAGTGCTGTAATTTTAAGAAAACTGTGAGGAACCCTACAATTATTTCAGGAATTTGGACTCATAGTGGATTAGGGCACAGTTAGGAATGTTAGAGACCTTAGCTTCACATTGCCCTGAGCTGGGAAATAGGAGTTATAAAACACTAAGGGTTAAAATTAGGAGGCTTGTAGAAAGTCAAGGTGTTTCCAAAGAAAATGAGATTTATTTGTTTTGTGTTTACCCATGTCAGCATTCAGCTTTCTCTCTGATGCAAGAAGGCAAGAGCAATGATGGATCCAGAATAAAGATATTACCTCAATATTTTTCTCCCAACTTCAGAATTTAGCAGGGTAAACTAAAAGCCACTTCAAAATATGATAGGGTAGATAACATATCAAGCTAGCCAGGAAGAAAAAAATGCTCCCTAGAGAAAAATTTATAAGGAACCAAGTTACAAGTCAAGGATAAAATAAAAATTTAAAAAGCATCTGAACACTCAGTATTTAATTAACTAACATTTATTAAACATTTCACCAATGTTCCAAGTATAAGCAGGAAAATCAACTCATGTTGCAAATCAAGAACTGCCCTGTTCTTTCAAACTGTGGGTAGATTAATGAAGCTTTTCCACCCATAATTTCTAAACCAAGAACCCACAACAGAAAGATTTTCAAAAGGAAGGGTTTTTTTGTTTTTGTTTTTTTTTAAGGAAAACCACCTACTTTCCCAATTTTGATTACCAAGTCAGTGACCTGGACACCAGAATTAACACTGCAGCATACAATTCATTATCTTATCAGAATGAAACCAATACATTGGGAAACGATGGAATGTTTGTAAGGGTAACCAGTAGAAAAAGACATTCTCACACCCCCATGTAAGTTGAAAAACATATGGCCCTTTTGTTAGGTAGGATGGGTAGTAAACTAAGGCAGGGAGGAGGGAGACCTGTCTCACCCGATGACTCAGCAGTCCTGAGCCTGGTCTGATAACACTGCCAGGTGTTCCAAAATCACAAGCAGGGAGAGCACATGAGAAGGGGAGTCCTTGAGACTGCGCTGGGAAAGGAAGCCTCTGTAACAATTTCACTAATTAAGACAAAGAGCCTTTACTAGCTGAGGGAAAAAGGCTTTGTAGCTATATATTATTCTCAAGGTTTAGAAGGGGGAGGTGGAGGGGTACCTAGAAGCTGACTACAGTATATAACCTCTGAACCCCAATAGCTGGTGCACTCAAATTAGCTGAGTGCCCACCTGTAGCCAGGTGCTCAAGTGTACAGAACAAACTTACTAACAAACTAATAACCTTATTTCACATATACATGGGGCATTCAGACTAGCTGAGTGCCTGCTTGCAGCTTTGTGCTCCTATGAGTTTCATAAATAAACTTGCTATCTCATTTCTACTATGCATGTTGTCTCTCACCTGAATTATTCTCTTGGGAGCAAGACAAGACCTGGGGAGAGGTGGGGAGCCCCTGACGTGGGTCTCCCCGGTAACACTTTCTAAGTGGAATTTTTACTTTTATAGGCTTCAATTAACTATATTTCCCTCTATATAATTTCCATACAAGATTCTCTAGTTTTCCAAAAAAAGATTTTTTGAAATCTGACTTGGACAATTTATTAAAATCATTCTAATTAGCTCAAAAACAGATTCATGAAACATACTACAAGACTTTTCCAATGGAAATATTCTAGATCATTTTTTGAGACTATAAATAAATGAAATTTATCCATTTCCATGTTTTTCCCTGATATCATTATGCTACCTCTAAATCAATCCATAACTTCTTTAGTAAAAAAATTCATCTACAAAAATGGTAAGGCTATATAATCACCCATTTCAAAAGTATAACACAGTATGAGACTGATTATAATGATTCAGAATTCCTTGAAAGTCATGACTGCTTAGTGTCACACTAGATCTACTAAATCAAAATCCGAGGGTATTTTTTTCAGGATTTTTTTTTCTTGAAAAGAAAGTTTCCAAACTAATCCTGATAGTCATTCACTTTGAGAATCACCTGTATAATCAACTAAGAATCAAAAGATATGGTATATATTCTACTCCCGGTTCTAATCATTTGGGTATTTAGCTTGTTTGGTTTTCTTATCTGCAAAAACTAAGGGATCAGAATGGATTCCTAAAATCTGCTTAGTTCTAACAGCTTATAAAGAGCTGTCTTTATAAGAAGAGATCAGGACATAAGGGGAAAACTACCAAAGGGGAAAGATGACTATCTACTAGCCAAGGAGAGAAGCCTCAGAAGAAATAAACCGGCTGACACCTTGATCTCGGACTTCTAGCCTCCAGAACTGTGAGAAAATAAAACTTC